TTTCTGTATTTGATATTTATATTTTAAATATATTCTTAATAATTCCTTACCACATTCATCTCGTGCTGACATTAATCCCATTCCTAATTCATTTATTATAACATATAATCTACTTTTATTGATGTTTCTACTATATAATTTGAGTTGTATCAATGACTTTCTTATTTGTTTATCTATATTCTCCAAATCACCAAGTTTCCATGGGACAATACAGAATCAATATCTTAATTTGGAGATTATATCGCTATTAATCTTTCTAATTGTATTGAGGCTGCTATATTTCATAATATTTAATGATGATAGAATAGAAGATACATCATTTAATAATCATGTATAATATTTATTAATATTTATTTTATCTCTTATTTCAATACCAAGATATTTATAATGATTAACATTAGTTACTCTTGGTAATTCAGATAATTCTCCATTTATCTAACCATTGATATTAGTCATTATCCCACTCTTTTCTATATTTATTTTTAATCATATTCTATTAAATATTTCATTTGTTAATTTGCGGGGTTTTTCCATTTCTTCGAGGCTGTTAGTTATTATCTTTAGATCGTCAATATATAATATGTGGTTTAACTGTACTTGTTTTTCTTCTCATTTCATTTTAATAGATAACTTATTAATTTGTTTATCTAATTGTTTAGATAATATATCAATAGATAATACAAATAATAATGGAGATAAACTATCACTTTGTATTATTCATCTTTGTACATTAATTATACATTCATTTTGTTGAATATAATATAATTATAGTTGTGTAATATTTAATATATGTAATATACTTTTAATTACAACTAATGGGATGCCAAAGTAAATTAAACATTGTTTAACCCATTGATGATTAATACTATCATATGCTTTAGAGACATCATAATATGTTTCTACCAACTTCCATTTATCCTTGACTAATAACTGAATGATTATAGTATTGTATAATAATCCTTCTTTTGATGCATATGTATATTTTTTACATCCAATTTGATTTTGTGATAATTGTTTTTCAATTTGATTTAGCATCAGTTGGCTTTCTATCTTCATTTTTAATAAAGATGTATATACTTTTAACATTACAATTTAAACAAGTTATTGGTCTGTAATTTTGTGGGTCTAATTTATCTCCTTTCTTGTATATTAATATTGTCCTTCCTTGGATAAATTGAAGATTGATGTTAGTAGGATTATACAACCATTTATTAAATAATTTTAATAAGAAGTTCTTTGGTTGTTCTAAATATTTAATCCAGAAGCATTGTATTTTATCAATTCAATGTGATTTCCAATTACTAATGAATTTTATTGCATGGTTTAATTCATCTAGAGTGATTACACACTTCTATTATTAATTCTATTTTCAATTAATATATCATATAAATTATTATTTATGAAATCTATATTGGTGTTATTTTCATAGATTCATTTCCAGAAATTAATTGTATTAATATTATCTGGATATTCATCTTCTTTAGGCTTATTTGGAAGTTGTCTCTTTCATTATTTCATCATTTTATAATTCCATCTAATTCTTTTCCAATTATTCTTACTTCTATTTCTATTCTTTTCATTCTTTGGTGGTATTTGTAATAATTTATTTGCTCATTTGTTTTTACTTTAATATGATATATATCATATTTTTTAATATGTAATATTCTTTTTAATTTCATATATTGATTATTATGGATTAAATCTCTTAATCTACATATTTTTGATTGTAGTATTCTTTCTATACTTCTCCTTCTACTTCTTTCTTGATTGTTATTAATAATGATGTTAATAGTTGATGTTATAGTTTTAATATAATGGTATTAATCATCTAATGTATTGATTAATATTTCATTTGTATTAATGATATTAATTATTTGATGTACTTTGTTTTTATTGTAATAATAATTATTAAATTATACATCTTCTTGTTATTTCATTTATTCTTCTTTATTTCTTCTTATTACTTCTTGTATTTCTTCTTTCTTATTTATTTTGTTAATTCTTTTAATTTAATATCTTTCATTTAGTGTGTTATTATTTCTTCTTCTTTTCTTCTATTGATTTCAATTTTATTTTCTTTCTTTATTTTAAATGTTTTCTTTATTATTTCTTTATATTCATTAATATCTTCTATTTTAATATCAAATTCATGTATTAATCTTTTTATTTCTTCTTCTTTAAGTTGACTTCTTAATTTTCTTTCTAATAACTTCAGTGCAAAACATTTATAGAGTGTTAGAATTTCTTCTTCTCTATTTGTTTGCTTCATTTGTTTTTTTTATTGTCATGATCAGATGTGGTGATCTTCTTATGCTGATTTCACATCTCTTCGATTGAATTCTGTATTATCTTTCTTTTTTTTTGGAAGATCATCTTTATTTGATGATATTTCATCAATTAATACAACATTGGGAGTGAGGTCATTCATAATTTGTGTTTCAGATGAGTCTGATATAGTGTGATTTATCTCTTCTTTTCTTCTTGTGTAATTTTATTTTGTAATTTAAATAATTTATCTTTCATGAAGTATACTTGTTGTGATAAATTGCTTACCTCAGACATTTTCCTTTCTGATTCAGCATTGAATTCGAATAATTTTCTATCACTTTCTTGTTTTTTAGTATTTATCTCATTCTCATGTTTCTTCTTTAATGATATAATGTCATTTGATAATTTATTAATGGTCTGGTCCTTCTTTTGTATTTCTTTTTTCATTTCTTCTTTCTCTTTAAGATCCTCTTCTATTCTTTTATCTTTTTCATTCTTCTTTTCTTCTTCTTCTTTTAATTTCATCTTTTCTTTTTCATTAAACATCTTCTTCTCTTCAGTAAATTCATTTTCATCATCATTTTCAATACTCATTGTATATTTCTTATTTAAGTATTTATCATTTATTTCATTTTGATTTAATTGTTTGTCATCTTCTTCATTTGTCATACTGATCGTTTCTCCATTCTATTTATTTTTGTTTTTTCTCTTACAAGTAAATACTATCTTCTCATTATTGTTGATTGTATTCTTTAATCTTAGTGTTCTTAATTTCTTCTATTTCTTGTGGTGTAAGTATTTTAATTTCTTCTTCAAATAGTCTTTTCAAATATTCTTATTTTGTATTTCTATCATTTCTTTTATTTCTTATTTGTTGATGTCTTTTATTATGGTATTGTTTATGTCTATGTTGTGTTTTATGATGTGATTTATTTGTATTATAATATTGATTGTTTCTATTTGAATTAATGATAAAATACTTATGATGATGAAAATGAATGAAGCGATGAGCGAAATGATTCATACTATTATTATTATAACTGTTATGATAATTGTTATGGTGATAGTTATTATTATGGTAATGATTAATGTGATGATTAATGTATTTCTGTCCATACAGATAATACGTGTTTTCACTCATTCTTCTATCATTTATATTTCATGGATGATATTGATTTCTCCTTCTTTTGTTATTGATTTTTTTATAATTTTTGTGTTGTTTCCTGTAATGCTTCGGCATCTCCTTCTATTTTAATTTTTTAACAAATAAAATCCATTTAAAATTAATTAACATAAACAATTACATTGAATAATTAGTCAATCAATCATTCAATTATTAACTCATCTATAAGCAGATGTTAATTTATCTAATTCTTTCATTACATATTCAAATGTTTTCATAATCTCTTTCTTCTGTTGATTTAATTCTTCATCTTTTGAGTTGAATCCATATATTTCTTTAGCATATTTTTGTTCATAAATTTCACCTAATCCAAGTTTACTTTTTTCTCCATCAAGTTCAATTTCTTTTTTCTCTTTCTTTTGGACTAATGTTTTTCTAACAACATCATCCCAACTTTGTTCTTTTATTCTTCGTCTGATGAGATCTTCTAAACTTAATGTCTGTTCTTTAGTCATTGGAGGTGGTGGTCTATTAGTATTTTGGAAGTCAATTTCAAGGTCAACTAAACTATCAACTGGTCTTTCTTCTCCTTTAACTTCACCTAACATACTCCAATGTTTTTCTTTCATATTTTCTTCTTCCAACTTAGTAATTTTATTTTTAATGATTTCTTGTTGTTTTTCAAATTCATTCTTTGGTTCTTTTTGAATTTCTTCATTGTCATCATCTTGTTCAAATCCTTCAATTGGTTGATGCTCTTCAATACTGTCATTGTTTTCTTCACTCATTTCATTTTCCTCATTACTGTCTTCTTCTTTGTCAACAACCTCATCCAAATCTCCATCTCCAAGTTCAAAATTATCCATCTCATCTATGGCTTGATTCATTTTATCCATATCAATTTCTTCATCCATATAACTTAAATCTTCTTTTTCACTATCTTCACTTTTTTCTTTTTCATTATCTTCTTCTATTTCAACAGGTTTAATGGTATCAAGTTTTTTCTCTATTTTTTTTTGAATTCCTTTAATCTTTGCTAAATTTTGTTGATTAAATTCGTTGATTTGATAATAAATTTGTTCATCTGTGAAATTATCAATGATAATACCATTAATACCATAGTCTACACATTACCTTTTCCTCTTTTGATAAATGACAATTAAATATATGAATAGTGAAACAAACATTGTAATATAAATTTTAATGCATCTCTTATTTTTTGTTGTATTGGAGTAGACACATTTGGAAAAATAGTTGTTGGGTTTTGATGAATCTGACTAAGTAATTGATGAACTTGTTGTGTCTTTTCGATTGACATGATACAATTAATATTTTTTATTTCTTTAATAACCCTATTTCCCTATTATTTCGTTCTTTTCCCAACTTTTTTCTAGTTTCTTTCACTTTTATTGAAAAACAATTTTGAAAGAATAACAAAAATATAGTTCGCTCTTTAAGAAATCATTTAGTTTGGATGAGGAAGAACTAACGAATTTGATCCTTTCATAATCCATTCTTGAGCTTTTCTTTGGTATTTCAAAAGTTCAGATGGTTCAATTTTGCTAACTCGTTCTGAACTAGGAAGAGAATAATTAGCACATTTTTCATTCAACCCAACAGATTTAGTTGATGCATTAAAAATAATTTTTGAATTAGCTTTTTGAGTGAATTCAACAGCATTTTGAATATTTTCTGGTGAACATCTAAAAATAAATAATTGTTTTGATTTTATCTGATAATAACTTTTTTGAAAAATTGATGTAAAGATATATTTTGATTTGAAAGGACACTTAAGATGATAATTATAAAAACAAACGCTAATAATTTAGCAAGAATTTCTGTTGAAATGAATCCTTTATCATCCATAAACTTTCTAATGAATGATCCTGATGAAAGAGAATTTTCTTCAAATAAACAAGCAATTTGATATGAAATATTAATTTCAGCAAATTGAATTTGGTTCATTTGACCTTGTTGGACTCTTGGTCTTCTTTGATTAGTTCGAGTTGAAGTTTGTTTTGATTTTAGATCTTGTTCTTTATGACTTTGTTCTTCAGGAATATACTCTGATGCACCAACTATGAGTTTTGTTTTCTTTTGATTCACTTTCTTACTTTTTTTATGAGACTTTTTCTTATCTTTTTTTGGTTTATCAAAATTACTGCTTGGGTTTCTTTCAACAACAGTTGGTTCTTCAGTTGCACTCATTTCAAAGTACTTTTTTGATTCCTTTATTCTAGTTCTTTTTCTAATTTCATTTTTTATTTCTTTAAAAGAAAAAGAAAGAAGAAATTTTTAGGGTTTTGATCTTTTAATCCTGAAATATAGTTCTTTTATCATTTATTTTATTATTTTCATTCAAATAAATTCAAAATATTCCAATTATTCTTGTTTGTATCCATTAAATTTCTTAAAATATTAATTTATGTAAGTCCTTTTAATCATCAAGTAATTTTTTGTATAGATTCAATCAATGAAGATCAAAAATATCTAATCTAGAAAAGTGTTGTTGAGAAGGCATTATCATTTCTAGTTTATCTATAATTTCTGATATTCTTCTATAACAAATATTACTTTCTAATTGCAAAGAATAAATATCTGTTATTTTTACCTTAAATCACTCTTAAAAATGAAAAAAGATACTTTTATTTTCATAGGTAAGAATAAATTTTTAGAAGTTTAAGAACATAGTACAAAGAAACACATAATATAAGAATACAAGACAAACAACTTTTATAAAATAAACAATTAATTGTTTCTATGTAAAATGAGAAATTAATAGAACTAGTTTGATATAATACCAACTAAATGACAAAGATTATTGTTGACAAATTAATAAATGAGTATATATTTTATTTTCTATACTATTATGAATTAGTAGTAATATCATAAGTTGTGTCTTTATTATAGTTTTATATAATGTTGATTCATAAAAATATGAATAATTTAATAATCAAAGAATATATTGTTTAATGTGAAATAAAAGTGTTAATAAAATACAAATAATCTCAAATATAAATTGTGAATGTAATGAAATAATTAATAAAAATTATTTGAAATCTAATTGATTACAACTTACAATAAATATTGATTTTGTTTGTATTATAATACATTTATAATTTTCTTTAGTAAATATTCTTAATAATATCAATAAAAGAAATAGCATATAATTTATAATTAAATTGTTCAATAACACTATCAGTTATAAAGTTATTCAATAAAAGGTATTCTTTTGTTAAGTGTTATAATCTTCAGTAGGAGATGATTAGGTTAATAGAAATTTGTTTCCTTATTCATTGTACAATTCTTCTAACAGTATTTTTAGTATTTTTATATTAGTTTTATGAAGTTTTTAATTTCCTTTTTTCAAACAATTAGTATTGTTTACTTTTTATTAATTAAGTGATGTACAATTAGAGTGTATAATATTAGATATGTATTTTAATCATAATTGAGTAATACCATTTATTTTGTTCATTTATTTTATGAACCAAAGAATAACTAAGGAAAGAGTTTAATCTATCAACAATAATGGTAGATAAAATCTCTTTAAATTAAAGAATCTTTACTTTTATATTTTATTAAAGGTTATTCTAGGTATTTAAATAATTCAAAGAATAGTAAAAATCATTATGATATAGTAACAATATAATTGATAGACAATCACAAGAATTGTTCAAGACAAGGATAATATTTAATTAGTAACTTTTTTTGTTCTATCTTTATTTCTTGTTACCTATCTTCTCTTCTTAGTTTTATCTTAGTATAATTCCTAGAAATGGGTTTTAAAAAAAAATGTTTACACCTTTTAAAAAAAGTTATCATTAGTCATAATATTTAAAGTATTGTCATTATGAAACATATTGTTGTTTAACAACAATATAAATTGTAGAAAAATTTTTAGTTGATAGTCAATAACAAAATATTATTTAATTACCTAAATGGTCTTCCATATTGATAATGAAATTCTATTAGATGTAATAAAAATTGAATTAATTCATTTAAACTCTTCAAAAGAGTTTTTAGATAATTTTTTCATATAAAAAAATCCAATTACATTCTTAATTAGATTGTTGAGCTTTTTCTTTTTGTCTACTTATTCTTTTCTTTGCTAAAGCTTTACGTCGTTTAATACGATCTTCTTTAGTAGTTCTTTTAATAACAATTTTAGTTGGTCGATCGAAATGTGCCAATGTTTTTTCTTCTGATTCTTCTATTGGTAATTTACTTAAATATTCTAATAAATCAAATCCTAACACAGGTCTTAAACTTTCAGCTCTTACTTTTGGTTTTTGTAAATAATAAATTTCACTTTCTTCATAATTTTTTACAAAAGTATTTAATTCATTAGCAATTTCTGGAGATACTTCATTTCTTAATGATAATTTTGTTGCATTACTCATTAATTTATTTCCAACTGATTTTAATAAATCAGGATGACAAATAAATGGTTGTGATAATTTATTTGTTATTTGATAATTTTCTAAATTTCCTGGATCAGAAGTATTTGGGAAAATGGATTTAAGGTCATTATATTGTTCAATAACATTTTTTTCAAGTGAATTGAGATTAAATCCACGTTCTTTTCTTGTGTTTGTTTCATCTAATACTTTTTGTAATGTAGAAAAGATGATATAAGAAGCAAAATAATTATGACATCTATAAACTAGAGAAGTACATAATGAAATAAAAAATTGATATGAATCGTTAATATCAATTCCAATCATTCTTTTTACAAATGCAGAATATTTATCTCCACGAGATGCAATATCATGAGTAAATCGAACATATTTTGAATCAATACCTTTTGTTTCTGATGAAATATCTTGAGTTAAATTATTAAGATAAATAGAAATAGGAATAAGAAAATATAAATGAGCATCTAATTCTGTCATAATATCAGCAACAATATTCTCATTAATATAACATAATCTAATTTTTTTACTTTGAACTTTAATTTGAACTCCTTTCTTTTGCATTTCAATTTTTCTATTAGCTACAGCAACATTAACACATTCAGAATCAAAAACTAATGAACAATATTTATTCATAAATTTTAATATTGTATCACAATATGGTGTATGAAAATCTTCATTATAATTAACATACCAAAAGAATATTAAATTCATTATTGTTTGTTCTATTTCACATGGATCTTTTGGATATGATTTATATTTTTCATCAGTTTGACAATCAAAAAGAGCAAATAAAAATTCACTCATTACATCTGCTGCAATCATTTTCTTATTTTTAAATGGAAAAGTAATAGCATAACCTTCAATAAGAACATTTTGATAATTAACTCCTTGTTCTTCATTAGAATTATCTCTATATGCCATATCTAATTGTGCTTTTAACAATCCTCTAAAATTAAATAATTCTTTAATATATGAATTTGTTACTGATAATGGTTTTTTATCTGTTTTCTTTTTAGGAATTCTAGTAAAAACATCTGTTTCTATCTTTTTAAAAAATTCGGTTGCTTTAAATATTTTCTTTTTGTCTTTTGTTAAACAATGTGCAATAGCTTTAGAAAGACATTCAATAGTTTTATCATATTTTTTAAAGTTAAATTGATTTTCAGGATCATTTTCTGGAATATTTGTTTGATTTAAGACAATTTTAGCAAATGGTTCTTCAATTGAAAATAAATACATTACATAATTAAGTCTATATAATGCAATATTTAATCCACTTTTTGTTCCATTTGAATAAAATTCTTTACAAAAAGCTAAAACACTTTGACATAAATATTTTATTGCTTTTTCAGTAAGAATTATCCATCTCCCACGATGATTTGGTGATAGAATTTCATCAGTTGTATAACATAATGGGGTAAGTGCAATGATTCGTTGATAAACGTTATTTACTATTTGTTATTAATTTTTATGTTTTTATTTTATATATACAATTTTGGTAAAAAGATAAGAAACTTACAATTAATATCAATATTTAATCAATAATCCTTTTACCTTCTTTATTTTATAAATTAATATTAAACAAACAAATTGGTAATACACTATTTGAAAGAATGTCTATAGAAAATTGTTCTGGAAATATTTCGTCTTTTTTCATTTTATTAAAATCTTCAACAATTTCAAGTGCAGTTACCTAATCAATTAACTTCTTTTTTTTATAACTCTTTTTTGTTTAAATGAAAAAGTAATTCATTACAAACTAATGGTGTTACTGGTGGAATAGATGCTGATTTTCGTGACATGTTATTCTTTTTCAAGATTGAAATAAAGTTTTTTTCACATTTTTTTCTTCTTTTTTGTTTTTAATTTTTCTGACTTTTCTTCAATCTAATCTTCATCATTCTTTAACTGGTTCAATTTTCCAACCCAAACATTAAGCAACACATTACTCCTCTTTAACAAATAACACAAAAAATTACTTTCAATTAACTTTGTGTTGTTAAATTCAATATTTTATTGGAAAGCTAGTGGTATAAACAAATTGATACATCTGTAAAATAAAAAGAAACTAGTAAATTCAGTTAATGGAGGAACACACATATATTGAAGGCTGGGAAAAATTGAAAGAAAATGATATTGATCTCAAACTAATGAGAATGGGATTTGAGACAATTACTGAAAAATCTAAAATCAGTCCCGAAGTAACTCCTGACGAATTAATGACAAACGTCTTTGATATTGTCTCACAACTAAACATGATATCAAACAAATTTTATTCGGGATATGATAAAGGCAATAAAGAAAATGAATTTAATAAGGAGTCTGACTCAGAAAAAGTTTCCTGTGCAAATCAATGGAACAAAATTATCATCCCAACAGATGAAGATGACGTTCATACATTCTTTATTGGTGGCAGTCCTTATTTTGTAGAAGAAAATAAGGTCCTACTTCAATCTCAAAAAACAAATGGGAACGAAACAGTTTTAATGACAGAAGAAGAGATGAGATCATTTTATGACATTTTTGACTATTTGTCTTCTTCTCAATTACAAACCACAAAAGAAATGATGAATGAGTTTAAAAAATCTTCAAATGATAACTAATTGTAATGAATTTCTGTTCTATTTATTTAATAATTAACATCAATTTATTTTTATATTGAAACAATTGTAAATAAAACCAAAAATCTTTCATCAATTAATTCTTTTTGATAAATATTGAAATTGCTAAAAAAAAGTTCTTTTAATCTGTTTTATTCGAAAGAGCATTTACATTTAAATATATTAAATTTGGAAAAGAGGAATGGGACTAATTTTTTTGTGTATACATTGTGGTTGGTGTCAGGCATTCCATTAACGAAAGAAAACTAATTAGTAAAAGCTCAATTAAAAACTAAAGATTTAAAAAGAATTGAACAAATAGTTGTAAACTTCATAACAATGATAAACACGTTACTTCCTGAAAAAAAAAAGAGATAGAAAATACCTTTCTTATAATATAAGACAATGTTTTTGTTTTACAACAGGAAGGTTTAAACTACACAATAGAAGAAAAAAATGAATGTTGAAAAATTTAATGAAAAATCAAAGTTGTGATAAGTATGTTTGAAAAGGAAAGTGAAGCAGTAGACTTTATTAATAATAAAGTGAAAAATATTTTCAAGAAATATCAATATGATGTTAGTAGTCATCAATTAAAGAAGAAACAATTTGATAAAAAGAAAATAGGTGAGTTAAATCAATTAACTGAACTTGAGAAAAGAAAACTTGAACAACATAAAGAAAGATTAGTATTAGAGATTCCTGATAAAGTATTGAATATTATTAACTAAATAGAAGAAATAGAAAAACCAATTAGGACCGCATTAGCACGAATCAAAGACAAACTCATACAAGCCCTAAACAATGAAACAAAATTTAAAGAATTGCCTATTAATTCAAAACAAAAAGAAAATGAAATCAAATACAACAACTATTCGAGAAAAAATCAAACCAAATCAATTATTGAAATTTTGGTTAATCTGTTCGTTTGTTCAATTAAGAATTTCCAATGGTGATGAAAAGAAACTATTCATAAGAAACTAAAAGAAAAGAACTTGCTCGAAAATAATTAGAAAAAGCACTTAGTTCATTACTTAATCATATTATTACAAACGCCCAAATTGTTATTAAAATTGTGAAAACTCGAGTAGAAGTACTTGATTCTGTGACAATGGTTTATATAAACACCAAAGAAAAAACCAAGGTTAAGAATCATTCAACACAAAAGTGATCAAAGAGAATTTAGTTAGCGGTTTTAGTAAAGCTAAAACAAAAGGATTAGAATGATGGTTAATAAAGGTTAATAACAAACTTGTAATAAGAAGAAGGACTAACACTCTTTTTTGTTTAAGAAAAATTAAATAGAATAGAAAAAGATACTAGAGATGAATAGTAAAAGGGACTTTGAGAGGTAGAATGCTTCTATTCAACAGTTTTGAAAAAAAGATAAAAAAAAGAAGGAAATAGTGTTATTATGGACTGTCGAAAAACACTTTTACTCGAAACAAATAACTTCCCGAAAAAAAGCAAGAAAAAGACTGTAAACAAAGAAAGATAAAAAGAATTATAGAAAATAAATGGGATAACCCTAAAAATATTTAAATAATTACACATCTAATTAATAATAAACAACATTGTTATGTCTCAATTGAAGGATTTACAAACGAGAGTTTTACATACTCCATCTAAATGGGGAGAACCATTACATGCACATACCTTCCCAATTTTCCAAACATCAACATATCTTTTTGATGATACTCAAATGGGAGCAGATTTATTTGGAGGAAAAAGAGAAGGACATATGTATTCTCGTATGGGAAATCCAACCGTTGAATATTTTGAAGAACTTGTCAATTCATTAGAAGGAGGAGCTGGAACTGCAGCATTTGGTTCAGGAATGGGTGCTATTCATTCTGCAACAATGGGACTTCTTAAAGCTGGTGATCATCTTATTTCTGGTGATACCCTTTATGGATGCAGTGTTGAATTATTTGGAAATAGATTTAAAGATATGGGTGTTGATGTTTCATTTGTTAATACTGCCTCAGATGAAGCTGTTGTAAAAGCATGGAAACCAAATACAAAGATGGTTTATTTAGAATCACCAGCAAATCCAACATGCAAAATTTCAGACATTAAAGGAATTGCTAAGATTTGTCATGAAAAAGGTGCTATTTTGGTTGTTGATTGTACTTTTACTACACCAGTATTCCTTCCAGCTTTAGAACTTGGAGCAGATGTTGTTCTTCATTCAATTACTAAATATATTAATGGACATGGTGATGTAGTTGGTGGTGTTGTTACAACTAAATGCCCAGAACTTCTTCAAAAGATTAAAGCATTTAGAAAAGATACTGGATCATTGATGTCACCAATGGACGCTTTCTTATGTATTCGTGGAGTTAAAACTCTTCCAATGAGAATGAAAGTTCATATGGAAAATGGACTTAAAGTTGCAAAATTCTTAGAACAACATCCAAAAATTAAACAAGTTAATCATCCAGGACTTGAATCCTTCCCAGGTCATAAAATTGCTATGGAACAAATGAAAGGATTCGGTTCTACTTTCTCATTTGAAATGCAATCATTTGAAGCTGCTAAAAAACTTATGGAACATGTTAAATTATGTGGATTAGCTGTTTCTCTTGGAACTTTAGATACTCTCATTGAACATCCTGCTTCAATGACTCATGCTGCTGTTCCAGAACATCTTCTTAAACAACAAGGTTTAACTAGAGAACTTGTAAGAATTTCAGTTGGATTAGAAAATCCAGACGATATCATTGCCGATTTGAAACAAGCTCTTGAACAATGCTAATTGAATAAAAATGAATCCAATAAAGAATTATTTTTATTTAATAAAATTTTTCTATTCTTGAAATATATAACAAATAAATTTTTATATTATTTTAAACCTGATAAGGAAGAGTATTAGTTTTATTTCAAAATAAAACTAGTAATTTCATTTATCATTAAGAAAAAAGTATTATTAACATAAACACTATTTATCATTTATTTGAGAATAAAAGCATAATTTATTGTAAACTAACCAAACAACATTCAGACGTAGAAGTAAAAAATAACAAACAAATGAGAATATTACGATAATACTCTTTGTTAATTTAGTGATTTGATAAGGAAAGGTGTCATGAGACAAAAGAATAAAAGAAAAACTAAATTATTAATGACGATAATGGTATAGAATAATAAATGTCATAATTACAGTAATAATGTCAATTGATAACATCAACGTTATTCCAAGATAAACTGAAACATAATAATTCATTATCCCAGCTATTAGAATAGCCCCATGAAGAGATACAAATATAATTGAGTATATAATATCTTTCTTATTAAGATGTAATAACAAAGAAAGACTAGTATATGAGCATATTAAATACACAGAGTAACAAAAACCATTGAAAGCAACAATAGTAAAATTTCCGATGACTGGATTTAAAAGATAAAGGTCTGCATCTCCTGTTGATAAAAGTAAATAAGGAACGTTATGAATTAACACCTGACATACAGCAGCACCAACCCCAAGACCAAGTCCAACTAATTTAATTTCATCAAATTTTTTTGTAAAATAATGAACTCCAATTAGTGTTGTAAATCTAATAACTTCTGTAATAATAAATGAATAAATAATCAACACATAATGTTGATGTGAAAAAGGTAATACTAACCATATCAAAGCAATAACACTTAAAGCTATTAACCATGAAATTGAACTATTGTATAAGTATTACTTTTATTCATTAAGTTTATTCAACATTTAACAAACCCTGCAATAGACGCTATCAGTTGTTGACTATTTTTCATGGCAAAATAAATAAGGAATATTAATGAAACTCCACTTGCAACAAAAATACTCGCCAAGCAGAACAACATAAACGAAAATTAATCTTAAGATTTTTAAGTTTTTGAAATTTTTTAATAAAAAAAAATATATAAATTGTTATTAAAAACAAAAAATAAGTAAAGAATAAATAATAAAGAAATTATAAATTTTTGATTTAAAAGACAATTCAAATAAAAAGACTCAAATGGATAATTTAAAAAACATTTAAGTCAAAAAATTATTGATAATATAAAACGCTAATGATTTAATGTTATAATAAAATTAAAATAAGTTTTAATTGTTAAAAGTAAAATATCAATTGAGTATTTTTTATTTCTTAAAATATTTCTTAAAGTCCTTGTTTTGTTTTATAGTCAATATACCTTTCTAAATTATTTATTACATCTTCTAATGAAGTATCATCTTCTCTAATATGTTCTAAAGTATAAGAGATGAATGATTTATAATGTTCTTTGATAGTTTTATAGAGACCAGTACTTTTTAGTATTTCGTTAGTATTTTCTTCAGCAAATAAATCTAATACGATATTTAAAACAGCGTCATACAGTATTTCAGTAGTTTCTTCCAATTTAATAGATAACATATTTTTGACAAACAAAGCAATAGAACGTAATGGAGCTTTTTCTTCTTTTCCAATAACACTTAAGATATAACATAAATTAATAATAGTAGGTAATTCAGATTGACATTGTAGTGGAGTGTATTGTTGATATTTTCTTGTTAATTCCCACATAATTGTATATTGACTTTTTTCTGTTTCATTATTTCCTTTTAATAATAGTCTATGATAACACATTAAACTACCATCTAATAGTGCATGTTCTATTGTATTTAAATTTGCCATTGAATTCTTTTTTATGTATTGAGATAATAATGGGAATAATATTTGAGCCAATGTAGAATGTGTTCCATTAATTTCTATTTGATACGAATTATCTAATATAAGTAAAACATTGTTTAATGCACTAAATGTAGTTTCAATAATTGATACAATAAGAGATTCTGTTTTATTTATTGGGTGTTGTATAATTTTAACTAATATTTCTGGTATTTTTGATTCTTCAATATTTTTCTTTATAACTGGATTTGGTTCATCATCAAATGTTGTAATATTTGTTAATAATTCAATTCCCATTTTTAATGCTTTAATTTTGGTTATAATTGTTTTAAGTTCATTTGATGTTTTAACAAATATATCAGTATTTAACTCATCTTCTTCATTTTCTTTGTTATTTTGTTTTGTTTGAATCGAGTGTGTTTCGAGTTGTGTTTTAATTGTTTCATATTGTTCTATAATAGAACAGTCAATAGTTCTCATAATAATTGGTAAAATAATAGGTAACGTTTTATGGATAACAGGATGAATATTATGAAGAATCGTTGCATAACATATCTTCATTGAATCTGGTAATTTAGAATCACATAACTTTGTTAAAATATCATAATATTGAGGAATTTTTTGAGTTAATAACTCTACACAAAGTTGATTATCATCTGTTAAAACAACAAGTAAACGAGAAACATTAATTGGAATAGAATATGGTTCTTCTGTTGGATTAAGTAAATTTATTAAATGGATTAATAAAGGAGATGTTGTTATATTTGCTAAATATTCTGGTGAGTACTCACAAAAATCAATAAGAACATTAATAATGTTTTCTAACAAATGAACATCTTCTTTCATATTCTCTTTAATATCAATCATATGACTCATTTGGTTCATCATTAAAGTTAATAATTTACTTTGTTTTTCTATAGTTTTATTATTATCTTGATACATTGCATGAATAAGGAAATAAAGATCAGCATGAAGGTCTAATTTAATATCATCTTTAAGAAGTAATTTATATATCATTTCCATCAATCCTCGTTTTACTAAAACAACGCTAAGATCATTACTCATTTCCATTGCTAATGTTTTACATGTATTACTTAAATTATAACAAAAGTCTGATCGTTCTTCTTCTTTTGTTGGAACTTTTTGTTCAAATTGTTGTATAAAATTATTAATGATATTCTCTATATTATCTGGTTCGCTTCTCTTCATTAAACACTCAATTAAAATAATTTATTTTCTTCATTTTTCTTTTTGTATTTTTTAGGGTTTTATTAAAAGTTGAAGTTGATAATGAAAATAACATGTTTGAGTTATTACTCACTTTTGATTTCCTTTGCAGTTAATAGTCAATTTAAGGGCTTCTTAATGCTATTAAATTTATTCAAACAAATCTTGAATGAAAAAGAAAAATAAAATAACTACTCAAAGAAGTACAGTGAAAAATTAATTTATGCTTTCATAATAAGAAAATAAAATATTATTTTACTATTTTTTAAACAAAAATGAAACAAAAAGAAAGGAATTTAATAAAGAATTTTGGAAAAGAAAAAAGAAAGAATAAGAACTAAAATTAAAATTATTAAAATGGCTAATATTAACCAACAATTAATTGAAAAACATATTATTATTATTGGTGAGTGTCAATCAAATACATGTCTTTATATAAACAATATAAAATGGGTAATTGATAATGAAATTAATTATGAATTATTACAACGATTAGCATTATCACTTCATTCATTTTCAAAAAGTTTTGTAAAAGAAGGAAATCAACCATCATTTCACAAATTGACATTATCAAAAAGATCTATAATATCAAGAAGAAGTAAAACAATAGAAATATTAGAAGATTTATATTCTGCACAAAATAG